AAATGCAGAAAGGAAACTCCCGTTGCCTCTTAAAACCGGCTGTATGGGCCCAAAAGGTCACTATGAGGCCATGGAGTTTTCTTTTGCTTTACATTTTTTGCATTTTACTAAGTTGTAAAATAATCATCCTAGTGAAGAAAAATTCTTCTTGGCATGTGTTCCTTCATAAATGACACAGTCAAGGAATTTTTCATATCTATTACATATACATGATGGCACAGCCATTTAAGAAGGTAAAGGAGACACTATACAACTGGATATTTGAGTTCTGTGCATCCTTTTTGGTGAAAGATAAAACTTTCCCTTTTCCCCGCATTCATCATTTTTCCATGGATTAATAAAAAAGGAGTTAAAATCCAGTTTTTCACTGTGTCATTTATGAAGGAACAGCCCAAAATTTGGGATTTCCATTTTCATTCTCCCAAACGGAGACACGGGCAGTAATAAAAAGCGGACGAGTGATCTAATCTTTCTCCACTCTATCCAAAAATAAAAAAAAGTTTGGCCTTAAAACTAGAAACCTCCTGGAAATAGAAGTGCTATTGCCTCTTTAGTTAGAAAATATAAAAGTCTGGGGGATGGTAAACAGGGTTTAATATTTCTAAGCACAGCAGGTGTTACCTAATGACCAACACAACATATTACAATTCCACGGCTTCATAACTGGTGTGGTCGTAACTCGCAAATAAAATATGCATGGATTGCACAATTTCCCTGCAGGCAATGTAACTTTTACTTTTTTTTTACTTGCGCATGTTAATTTGACAAGAGTTAATTCAATGCACACATGTTCACTCCATATGCCGACCACCAGAAACTTATTAACCTTTCCTAATGTTTTCCTAAAAGACTCAAGGGAAGTATGAAATGAGACACACGGTCACTCCAGTAATTTTCCCATGTTATGTCTATGTCCAGTTAGAAATAATCATTTTTTTTTTTCTTGAATAAAATATAATAAATAATAGGAACTTTGAGGAGCAAAGACTGGTGCACTCCAAAAAATGTGAAATTTCCATATGCCCGCTTAATTAGTGCTTCCTGCGACAAATTAATAAAAGTGCTTGTGTGCCAATTTGTCCAGTGTCGGTGTGCCACATTTGAGAACGCTTACTCCACACGTGCCAAAATGTTGGCACAAAACTGAATTTATGTTCTCTACAGTATTTATGCCAATACAGTTTTAGAACTATTTTCAAATTAGAACATTGAAGCAAGCATAGAACTCTCTTAAGACCCTCTTAAGAGTCGCTGAGTTTTAGGTACCCCTAAAGCTCTGCACAGCCAGGCAACATGCATTTTCTTCCACTTTTTGCACTCAGAGTCAGTAAACAGTCCCTTTGTTGGGTTTTGTAATTTTATTCAGGGGTTTAGAACTTGAGGGGTGTATGGGATGCCCAAGAAAACTGCAAACTTGAGGACAAATTCCTTAGCAACTTGTACAGATGTGGACAAAAATAGTCTCTCCTTTAAGAGCATTCCAACTCTCTGGTGTACGTCCTCAGACCCCAGATGAATCCTCCTCTTCACCCAGCTGCACTGAGGTTATTCCCTGGGCAAGGGGGCCCAGAAACTGCCAGTTTAGCACCTCAGCCCCAGATGAGAAGCTAGTTGGGCTTTTCACCTGACTTCCCTCTCCCCCTATCCAGCCCAGGGGTGTACGAGTACTCACACTGTCCTCTCCTGATAACTCAATGGGTTGGTGGCTGCCTTCAGGCCTTTGAGCTGTGCTAGCTCCTTACCTGCTGCTCAGGATGTCCTTCCTCAGAGACAGTGGTACAGTGGAGATACTCTTCTCCAGCACCTGCCTGTAGGTAGGCCCTTCCTTGGGCCCCCTCTGAGGCTCCACACTCCAGCCTCTCACTCCATCTTCCACCCGGCACTGCTCTCTTCCACCTAGGCTCTGCAATACTTAAGGGATGCCTTGGTCACCATACCCAGCGTCCGTCCAAGGTCCCTCAAGTATGCAGATCCAACCGCCTCCCCCTCCCCCATCCCTTCTCCAGAAAGCTCTCAGGTTTCTGGAGAGGTGGGAGGGCTCCAGAAGCTCTGACCTTCAGAACCTCCCTAGCCTGTCTTGAGGTGAACTCCTGCCTCACTCACAGGGCTGACTCATCCGAGGCTGCTACTCACCTTCTGTCAAAAAAAATAAAACAACAAACTGCTATCTGGCTAACCTGGAGGGCGTTACACAAGGGTTTCATTATTTTGGCATACTTGATCAGACATTTTTAGAAACTGTTGCATATTTTAATGTGATTTGGCATGGCTGGTGCTACATCACAAAGAACTTGCCTTTTTACCAGTGTTAGTTTCTTGCACAGAAAACAATCAATATTTATGCCACAAAAATGAAAATTTCTTAGTGAATCCCCCTTTGTGGGAAAATGTATACAACAAAAAACAAATTTGCCAATGCATACAGTATATCATGTTAATAGCTATATATGTGTTTAGTTTTAAATTCAGTGTTCATCTTTAAAAGTGTTCACACACATTCCTGAGAAAGCTGTAGATGAAAGAAGTGGTCTTATGCAGACCATACAAGGGTTTAACTCCAAATTAATTTTCTTTAGAAAATCGGAAATTTTGTGCATTTTGTAATTTCGATGGTGCCACCATTGATTTCGAAATTTGACCAACCAAGCCTTTAATTTCACTTCATGTTGCTACAGAAAAGAATTTTCGTGGCCAAGAATTTTCTTTTCTTTCCAGGTCATTCTAGAGCATTCCAGGCTGATGCTCATTTCTTTTTCGATTACATTTCTCGTGCGATTCTCCCATCATTGATTAGAAATTAGCTTGTTTTTAAAAAACTTTCCAACATGCCCGATCACTCAGATTTGATGTTCGCTTGAAAATCAGCCTTGCTGTGGCCCACTAATGGTGCGAAATTTAAAATTCTTAGAAAAGATTTTTGAAAGAAAATTCTTTCAGAATTTGACCCAGGTATGGCCAGCTTTAATTAGTGCAACCCAGACATACCTTCCTGCTCTCAGGATACAATACATAAAACTCATGGAGGATCTCACATCTACTATTAAGTGAATGGAAAAAAATTTCCATCAGAGATGGTGTTCACAATGGTGTTGGTGTGCTTCACATGTATGGTTGATATACCTTCTACCTAGTAGCAACCCAGGAACAGAACATTCTTTGACCCTCTATCGGCCCTCCTTACATTATGAACTTAGGACCCACATTTTCTGACCCCCCTCTTTCCCACTTCTTCCCCTTACCCCTCTGTTTGCTGATCCCCTCCACCCTGTAGTTTTAAAAATGTTTGTTGCCCTATCCTCACTAAACAAATTGGACAATACTCTGAGAAAGGCTTAGTTGTCTTAGAAAGAAAGACCGAAAAGGTTTCTTCCTTAGGAGTGTTGTGGTTGTTCTGCCAGAACACAGTTTAAAGTTTCATATTCATTAAAGGGGAACTTCACTCCTCTCCCAAAAAACATTGACCATTTTTAAACCTTATGCTTCCAGCATTAGAAAATAGAAAAGTATATCGTATTTACTTATTTTACACTTTTTTCTTTACATTTAGTTACTTCATGGTTTCCAGGACTAGGCAAATGATGTCATACATCCCAGGAGCAACCGCGCATGTACCGGTTTCAGACCGAAGAAGCCGTCGCCGATCTCCGACTTTAGCACAGAGCTGCCACAGTAAACCCCTTACAGGCTTCAAACCGCTGAAGCTGATCCCGCGGATCACGCGGATCACTATGGGTTGCAAGATCATTCAACCCCATTAACTGATCTTGCAGTTAACCCCATATAGGTTGCAAGATCAGTTAAGCCCGTATAGGTTGAACTTATACGGGGTTAACTAATCTTGCAACCCATAGTGATCCGCGGGATCAGCTTCAGTGGTTTGCAACCTGTAAGGGGTTAACTGTGGCAGCTCTGTGCTAAAGTCGGAGATTGGCTTCTTCAGCCTGAAACTGGCACATGCGCAGTTGCTTCAGGGGATACATATCTTCACAGGTCGGGATACTCTTTCCTCTCTGGAGAGGTGACACCATGTGTTACCGCACCGGGTGACACCAACCCTAGGGACGCCTCTGCTTATTGGTGTAAAATAATATTTAAGAAAAGTATATTTATTACTATGTATGCAGTCAGGCTTCATTACAGTAATAAATTTCAAGCCCTTAAAGTAGCACATTACTTTGGTTTAGGATCCACAAATTTCTATAAACTAGTAATACACAAAAATAATCATTGGAAAGTTGCATAAATATGTTATCAGAATACATGATAGTGTGCAAATGTAAACCCTCTTTCAAAACTGAAGTTCACTTTGAAATGTGAAGTAATGTATCAGAGTATCCATGCTTGCTGATGCTGCAGGGTATTCATGGTTGTCAGCCAGATAAAAAGACACTTTGCTGTTCTCTACACACTTGCTTAGCTTGATGGCACCAAAATGCCTCTTACTCAGCCATGGCTGTTTAAGATATAGTTAGTATAGTATGGTATGTGCATACATCTCTAAAGATGAACATTAAAAAGAACTACGATGAGATATGCAGTGTATCCAGTTGACTGCATTGTTTCCTTCTGCAAAACAACCGTGGTGGGTGATGGAGGAATAGCCTATGGGGCACTGAATCCTAAGATATATCATCTTCTGTTACCAAATATCCAGGCCGATGTGACTTGTGTCAAATATAAGCAACATTTTTTTTTAATGAGGACATTCTATCCAACCAGATAATAGTTTAACACTTGCCTAACGGGCACTTTTACCCCCTTCGTGCTCAGGCCAATTTTCAGCTTTCAGCACTCTCACACTTTGAATGACAATTGCGCAGTCATGCAACATTGTACCCAAATAAAAATTGAGCACATAGAGCTTTCTTTTGGTGGTATTTAATCACCACTGGTTGTTTTGTTTTTTGCACTATAAACAAAAAAAGAGCAAAAACTTTGATAAAAAAAAGGTTTTCTTTGTTTCTATTATAAAATCTTGAAAAAAGGTAATTGTTCTCCTTCACTGATGTGCGTTGATGTGGCTGCACGGATAGGCAGCACTGATGGGCACTGATGGGCACTGATGAGGTGGCATGGATAGGCAGCACTGATGGGCACTGATAGGCTGCACTGATGAGGTGGCACTGATGAGAAGGCACTGGTGGGCATTGATGAGGAGGCACGGATGATGCTGCACTAATATGCAGCAATGATGGGCACTGACTGAAAGCACTGACTGGTGGCACTGATGGACGCAACTGCTGGGTGGCACTGATGGGTGGCACTGGTGGGAGGCACTGCTGGGTGGCACTGCTGGGCATTGATCCTTGAAGCTTGAAAGCACCTCTACTAAATGTATTTATGGGTATACTAAGGATTGGGCCATTGGGTTTCAGTTTAGGAATACATATTTACAACGTCAGGAAAAATGACCGGCTGCTTTTGTAGGCACTCTGGAAGTCTTTTAACTAGTAGCCGACTGCAGATAGCCAAATGACGGCTACACTGCGGCCGGCCAGTTCTGAGTGGACGTCATATGACGTCCTCCCAGAACGCGCTCTCCTGCGCGCCCCAGGGGGCGCGCACCCGGCGATCTCTGTGATCGCTGTGTCCTACGGACACCGCTGATCACGTGATGTGGTAAAAGGCCAATCACAGCGGCCTTTTACCACGTGATCAGCGGTGTCCAATGACACGTTGATCACAGGGAAATGCAAGTGCCGGTTCTCGGCTGCACTTTCCTCACGCTGTCAGATCGTGAGGAAAGTACTGCCGAGAACCGGCAGTTGTCAGAGCGGGGATCGGCACCGATCATCAGGGCACTGATGATCAGTGCCCTGATGATCGCGTGCCCAGCAGTGCCACCCGCAAGCTCCGCCCACCTGTGCCCAGCAGTGCGCCCACTAGCTCCGCCCACCTGTGCCCAGCAGTGCACCCACCTGTGCCCAGCAGTGCACCCACCTGTGCCACTCTGCAGTGTCCCACACCTGTGCCCAGAAGTGCCACCTACCTGTGCCCAGCAGTGCCACCCACCTGTGCCCACCCACCTGTGCCCACCAGTGCCACCCACCTATGCCCACCCACCAGTGCTGCCCACCAGTGCCACCCACCAGTGCTGCCAGTCAGTGCCACCAGTAAGTGCCCAGGGGTTGTGCCAGTCAGTGCCGCCAGTCAGTGCCCAGCAGTGATGCCAGTCAGTGCCGTCTATCAGTACCCATCATCAGTGTCACCTATCAGTGCCGCCTATCAGTGCTGCATATTAGTGCCGCCTATCCGTGACACCTCATTAGTGCTGTCTATCAGTACACCTATCTGTGCCACCTCATTAGTGCTGCCTATCATTGCCCTTTAGTGCTGCCTATCAGTGCCCATCAGTGCCCATCAGTGCTGCCTCATCAACGCACATCAGTGAAGGAGAAAAAATACCTGTTTGAAAAATTTTATAATAGAAACAAAGAAACTTTTTTTTTTTTTTAATTTTTTGCACTTTTTTTATTTATAGCGCAAAAAGTAAAGTGCCCAGTGGCGATTAAATACCACCAAAAGAAAGCTCTATTTGTGAGAAAAAAATGATCAAAATTTCATATGGGTACAATGTTGCATGACCGCGCAATTGTCAATCAAAGTGCGGCAGCGCTGAAAGCTGAAAATTGGCCTGGTAAATAAGGGGGTATAAGTGCCTGGTAGGCAAGTGGTTAAATGAGTAGTAAATGTAAGATAAAATATTTTTTTCAAAATGCTACATAAAGCAAATACAAATATTGCTGTCTCTACATCCCCTCAGCCCAAGATACTATAGGAATATCTAAATGATAAATGATATTAAAATATTGTAGAAAATATAACAAAATGCTACATAGTTTAAAAGAGTAACTTCAAAATTAAAAAGTATAAGGTGATAGATTGGGTTAAACAAGGCCAAATGATGCCCATTCTTCTGCATGTTTGATAGGTACTTTGTCATTAAGTACTCTGTATACACAACGCATACACATATACACAATGCTTTGCACGCACCATCCCCCTTCCCATCATAAAGGCATTTAACATATGTCCAGAGGATATCTGCCAGTCTGAAAAATGATGGCTGCATTCTCCATTTCTGGCAAACCTTCCTTGCAGCCTTCTCTCATCTGCTCAGGTGATCCGGAGGCAAGAACATTAAATCTTCTCTGTCTGAGACACCTCAGCGCATCATCTGCTTCTGGCTTTCTCTCACTCTCTCTCTTCAACCTGCTGGATCAGCACAGAAAATAAAGCACGCTTCCTAGATATGTCACACATTAACCCTCTAAACCCAGATATCACCCCCCAAAATAATAAATATTGCTAATTTCATGATAACGTATCTAGAACCACGTAACACTTATTAGTAACAAATTGATCTATAAATTAAAATCATATTATGCAGCTCTTTTTCAATTTACTAACATTTTGTCATAATTTAAGGATGATTTTCCTGTTTACCAATTACTTTTAGTTATGGATTACCCAATTGCATTTTTCTATATATGTAATATTTTCCTTCTTTTCCTAAAAAGGTGAATTATTTTCATTTTGCCAAGTACAAATCTGAGATTTCTTTCAGTTTTTCTTTTGTAAGATGAAACTTTAAATTTCTGGGAAACTTTCCTTGCAAACTGTTATTCAAAAAATTCAAAAAATATGGATAGATCATGTATTTTTCCTCAGAGCACCACTAGCCAGCATATAACAACCAATAATGCTCTAGGGCAGTGGTCACTAAATGACGGACCATGGTCCAGAACCGAACCAAGTGACAGTCCTGTCCGGACCACGGCTGTGCCACTGCCACAGTTGGATGTTCTCTCCCGGGTCTCCCGCCCAGCCATCATTGTCTTCCTCACTGTGGGCATGGGCGTTAGGAGCTGCATATAGGGACTGAGGGGTGGGAGCTGCAAAAGTTATCATGTTAAGAAGCAGGTGATTACCCAGCTTGTTATTATCAAAAGACGCCCACTATCTGCAGATCGGGACAGGCAGCGGGAGTCTTTTCATATTAAAAAGCCGGGTAATCATCCAATTATTAACATGATAACTTAGGTAGTCCCCCCCCAGTCCCGATTTGCAGCTCCTCCCACTCCCGCTCTCTATGAGGATGACATCGTTGGTGGGCTGGAGGCCCGGGAGAGGACACCCCAGGAGGATTAGTGCCTCTGCCCTGTCAAAGGTACTACAGTGGGGCAAAATAGTATTTAGTGAGCCACCAATTGTGCAAGTTCTCCCACTTAAAAAGATGAGAGAGGCCTGTAATTGGCATCATAGGTAGACCTCAACTATGAGAGACAAAATGAGAAACAAAATCCAGACAATCACATTGGCTGATTTGGAAATAATTTATTTGCAAATTATGGTGGAAAATAAGTATTTGGTCAATATCAAAAGTTCATCTCAATACTTTGTTATATATCCTTTGTTGGCAATGACAGAGGTCAGACGTTTCCTGTAAGTCTTCACAAGGTTGGCACACACTGTTGCTGGTATGTTGGCCCATTCCTCCATGCAGATCTCCTCTAGAGCAGTGATGTTTTGGGGCTGTCGCTGGGCAACACGGACTTTCAACTCCCTCCAAAGGTTTTCTATGGGGTTGAGATCTGGAGACTGGCTAGGCCACTCCAGGACCTTGAAATGCTTCTTACGAAGCCACTCCTTTGTTGCCTGGGCGGTATGTTTGGGATCATTGTCATGTTGGAAGACCCAGCCACGTTTCATCTTCAATGCCCTTGCTGATGGAAGGAGGTTTGCACTCAAAATCTCACAATACATGGCCCCATTCATTCTGTCCTGTACATGGATCAGTCGTCCTGGTCCCTTTGCGGAGAAACAGCCCCAAAGCATGATGTTGCCACCCCCATGCTTCACAGTAGGTATGGTGTTCTTTGAATGCAACTCAGCATTCTCTCTCCTCCAAACACGACGAGATGTGTTTCTACCAAACAGTTCTATTTTGGTTTCATCTGACCATATGACATTCTCCCAATCCTCTTCTGGATCATCCAAATGTTCTCTAGCAAACTTCAGACGAGCCCGGACATGTACTGGCTTAAGCAGGGGGACACGTCTGGCACTGCAGGATCTGAGTCCCTGGCGGTATAGTGTGTTACTGATGGTAGCCTTTGTTACGTTGGTACCAGCTCTCTGCAGGTCATTCACTAGGTCCCCCCGTGTGGTCCTGGGATTTTTGCTCACCGTTCTTGTGATCATTTTGACCCAACAGGGTGAAATCTTGCGTGGAGCCCCACATCGAGGGAGATTATCAGTGGTCTTGTATGTCTTCCATTTTCTAATTATTGCTCCCACAGTTGATTTGTTCACACCAAGCTGCTTGCCTTTTGCAGTTTCAGTCTTCCCAGCCTGGTGCAGGTCTACAATTTTGTTTCTGGTGAAAGCTCTTTGGTCTTCACCATAGTGGATTTTGGAGTGTGACTGTTTGAGGTTGTGGATAGGTGTCTTTTATACTGATAACAAGTTCAAACAGGTGCCATTGATACAGGTAATGAGTGCAGGACAGAGGAGCCTCTTAAAGAAGAAGGTACAGGTCTGTGAGAGCCAGAAATCTTGCTTGTTTGTAGGTGACCAAATACTTATTTTCCACCATAATTTGCAAATAAATTCTTTCCAAATCAGCCAATGTGATTGTCTGGATTTTTTTCTAATTTTGTCTCTCATAGTTGAGGTCTACCTATGATGCCAATTACAGGCCTCTCTCATCTTTTTAAGTGGGAGAACTTGCATCATTGGTGGCTGACTAAATACTTTTTTGCCCCACTGTATAGGACTGTATAGGACTGTGCAAGGGGAGGTTTGCATTAAAAGGGGCCCTGTGTTATGTTAAGGAGTGTTAAGAGATACTGTGTTGTGTTAAGGGGTGCTGTGCTGTGTTAGGGGCACTGTGTTATGTTAGAGGCACTGTGTTATGTAAAGGGCCTTGTGTTGTGTTAGGGGCACTATGTTGTACTAAGGTGCTCTACGTTGTGCTAAGGGGTGCTGTGCTGTGTTAGGGGCACTGTGTTGTACTAGGGGGCTCTATGTTGTGCTAAGGGGTGCTCTAGGGGCACTGTGTTAGGGGCACTATGTGTTGTGTTAGAGGCACTGTGTTATGGAAAGGAGTGCTGTGTTGTGTTAAGGGGTGCTGTGCTGTATTAGAAGCACTGTGTTATGTGAGCTGTGTTGGGGAACTGTGTTGTGTTAAGGGGTGCTGTGTTGTGTTAAAGGGCGCTGTGTTGTGTTAAGAGGTGCAGTGTTGTGTTAAGGGGCACTGTGTTATGTAAAGGGGTTCTGTATTGTGTTAAGGGGTGCTGTGTTGTGTTAAGAGGTGCTGTGTTGTGTTAAGGGGCACTGCAATGTAAAGGAGGACTGTGATGTAAAGGGGACTACAATGTGAAAGGTAGAAGGGGAGGTTTGCATTAAAAGGGGCACTGTGTTATGTTAAGGAGTGCTGTGTTGTGTTCGGGGTTGCTGCATTTTGTTAAGGGATACTGTTTTGTGTTTTGGATGCTGTGTTGTACTAAGGGGTGCTGTGCTGTGTTAGGAGCACTGTGTTGTACTAGGGGGCTCTGTATTGTGCCAAGGGGTGCTGTGCTGTGTTAGGGGCACTGTGTTATGTAAAGGGGTGCTGTGCTGTGTTAGGGGCACTGTGTTTTGTAAAGGGGTGCTGTGCTGTGCTAGCGGCACTGTGTTGTGTTACGGGTACTGTGTTATGTAAAGGGGTGCTGTGCTGTGTTAGCAGCACTGTGTTGTGTTACGGGTACTGTGTTATGTAAAGGGGTGCTGTGCTGTGTTAGCGGCACTGTGTTGTGTTACGGGTACTGTGTTATGTAAAGGGGTGCTGTGCTGTGTTAGGGGCACTGTGTTATGTAAAGGGGTGCCGTGCTGTGTTAGGAGCACTGTGTTATGTAAAGGGATGCTGTGTTGTGTTAAGGGGTGCTGTGTTGTGTTAAGGGGCACTGTGGTATCTAAAGGGGTTCTGTGTTGTGTTAAGGGGTGCTGTGCTGTGTTAGGGGCGCTGTGTTGTGTTAGGGGTTCAGTGTTATGTAAAGGAGTGCTGTGCTGTGTTAGCGGCACTGTGTTGTGTTACGGGTACTGTGTTATGTAAAGGGGTGCTGTGCTGTGTTAGCGGCACTGTGTTGTGTTACGGGCTGTGTTATGTAAAGGGGCGCTGTGTTGTGTTAGGGGTACTGTGTTATGTAAAGGGGCGCTGTGCTGTGTTAGGGGCACTGTGTTATGTAA